TTTAGCTCTTTTAATATCTGAAAAATATTCATTTCTGACAGCTTTGAACTCTTCATCAGATATTATATTATTCTTTCAATCTCTTCTAGCAGTAGTTAATTCTTTTCTTTTAGATGAGATATTCTCATTTCATCAAGGTTTTGAATACTCAGAAGATTTTTTCTTTGAAATATTATCTCTAATACTTGTTAGAATAATAGATGTAATAAGCTTCACTCTATTCTCAAGCATTTCATTTGAGATATCTTGATCAGAATTTCAATATAGCTCATTCTGTCTTTCAGATTTTAACAGTTTTATACTTTCTTCAACTGCTTTTCAATCAGCTTTTTCAAAGTTATACTGATTAGAGAGAAGAGGATTTTCACTCATTTGTTTTTCACTCAGTTCAATATTAAATTGAATAATCTCATGACCTGATTCTGATGTCTTATTTGAATTAATAAATCAGTTTACAAGTCTTCTTTTCATTAGATTTTGTGATATGAAGATTAGATCTATAATAGACTTCTGTTTCATGTCTTTTCTAAAGAATGTTTGTTAATCAGACTTATTAATCAAATCTATTGAATGCTCAATGATTCATTCAACTAGATTATCAGCTCTCACTGCTCTCTTGTATTCTGAATTTCATCAGAGATGATGTGCATTGAAATCTCCTGCAATTATAGAGTTTCTTGATAAAGTTATGTTCAGAAATTCTCTATCAATTGTTCAGATATTGTTATTTTTCTTCAATGACTTTTCATTATAGATATTTATGAGCTGTATAGTATTAAACTCATTTTCTTTATCTATAATGTCACTCACCAGAATATCAGGGTCAGACATGATATCAAATCTTAGATTAAATTGATATCTTGATCTCTTTCTTTCATAGATCACTACTCTTGACTTTATCTCAGACTTTTGAGGTAGAAAGCAGTAGTAGCTTGAATGAGAAATGATGTAATTTTGCTCAGCATCAAAAGTCAGTTCCTGAAGTAGTATAAAATCAACTTTTTATTCAAATGCAATTTGAAGATAAGAATAAATACAATTTGAGTTTCTATGCACATTATTTTGAATAAATGTGATTTTTGAAGAGTTTTTAAACTTTTTTTATTATTTTTGTTGTATATTCATATTAAAAGAGAGTAGAGATAGAGTAGGATCTAGTCACTATCATCAGATAGTAGATTATAACTATTTTTAAAAGTAGGAATCTCAACTGCTTGCATTATATCTAGTTTATCATCAGAGTTATTTCTCAATTCTCTAATCTTAACAGAAGTTTGAGGATTCAAATTCTGTTTACATTTAGCTGAAGAATTGAAGTTTGAAGATTTGAATAGTTAAGAGTTTCTTCTTTTTAAGCTTACAGTTGTAAGTCTACTGACTTGACTCTTCTCTTCAGTTCTAGATTGACTTTGAGCTTCATCTTTTCTTCAGTTCTTTTGAGTTCTTGAAGCAAACATACATTTCTTTGAGCTAGATATATGTTTTTCTTTACAATTAGAGCATTTAAGCAGAGTGTGTTGACATATTTCATCTCTTTTTGAGCATATCTCATATTTATGCTCACTAGTTTTGTGATCTCTGACACAGAATGCATATTTTGAGTCTCTAAAATATGAGATTACAAAGTGTTCATATCTTTGATAGTTTGAACACTGTGTTTGAGCTTTGAGATTCATTCTTGAGTCTTTGTATTCATGAACTCTCATTTTCAAATCTGCTACTCTTACTTCAGAGATCTTTGACTGTTCAAGTGTTTTTATATATACTAGAACAGAGGCATTTCTTCTGCTTTGTCTGAACTCAATTGAATTTAGTTATACAGGCTTCTTTCTCAGCTGAATAGAGTTGTATTCTTCTAATTCATTTTTGAGAAGTAGCATTCCTTTTTCACAGTCAAAAATTTCAACTGAAATATTATGAAGAATGAATTTATCTCACTTTTCATCTTTCTCAGATAGAATTATTGTGTTTAGCAAAGATTCTACTGCTGACTTTCAGAGATTCTCATTCTGAATAAGGAATTCAGCACTAAATTCAGACATTGTAGTCAGAATGATGAAGTTTTCAAAGAATAATGACTCAATTGAAGCTATAACTGATTTTTAAACTTTAATATCAGTTATCAACTGAGAAAAGAACTGCTGATTAATTTCATTTCTGATTCTGAAAATGAGATTTGAGTTTAGCTTGTTTCTTTGCAGAATGTCCTGATTTGAAACTTTAAGAATAAGTCTTCTATTTCTGAAGATTTAAAAGTTTTTCTCTTTTTGCATTTTCTTTTCTACTTTTCTATGAATAGAGGTATGAGCAGTATTCTTCTCAGTTTTCTCAGAATTTTGAGCAGGTTTTGAGACAGCAGGTTTAGAGACAGCAGATTCAGCTGCTTGAGCATATATTTTCTTGTGATTTAAAGAAGAAGAAGAAGTAGAAGAAAAAGAAGAAGAGTAAGATAAAGAGTCAGTGATTGTATAAGGAATTTTCAATGTTTTTTAAACTGTGTTTGAGATTTCAAGTTTGAACTTGATCATCTTCTGTAGTTGTCTAGTCTGAGTATGAAGAATTAACAGAACTTCTTCATTCATCTTACTCAGACACTGCTTTTTAAGAATCTTACTTACTTTTTCAAGTTTCTGTATTTCAAGAACTTGTTATTTCTCTATTTCTTCTTTCTTTCTTCTCTTCAGAATTTCAATCTCAGGAATAGCACTTGAGAAAGCATCTTTTTTCACATCAACTGAGTGTATTTTTGAACTCATTATTCTCACTCAATGAAAAGTTGATCAGACTGTTTCAATTGAGATATTTCTAAGTCTGTTTTCAATTGAAAAGTTAGTCAGACTGTTTCAAAAGAAGAATAAAAGACTTTTATATATAAAACATCTGATTTTTTTCACACTAGTTCAGTAACTAGGTTAGATTTTTGAAGAGAATCTAATAAACTAAAATTGATTTTTAAGATAAATCAATAAAATCTTTACAATCTCTTTCCTGGAATACAGTGAGAAAGAGTATAATATCAATTGATAATGAATCAGATAATATGACAGTTTTTGAGAGAAAAACTGACAAAAAATAAATCAATTTTTTGCAGAGAAATTGATTAAAACTATTCAATTTTATTCTAAATTATTCAATTCTCCTCACACAACAAGTGTGTAACTCAAATCAGTTAATAAAGAGTGTAAAAAAGAATTAAGTATTAATGAAAGCTCTTCAGTCACTGAAAAAGTAATTCTTACTTAAAAGAATATAAAATTATAACAGAAAACAGCTCTGTTTTTTATTCTTTATAAGAATATTGTATAAAATCCAGAGAAAAACACCTTACTTTTTTAAGAGAAGTAAAAAACTATTTCTAAGATCTTTTTTTTGTATTAACTGCTGCAGAAGAATGAGATAGAAACTGCTAAGATATGTACTACTATATACTCTCTATCAAGACTTTCTCTCTTCAAAGTCTTGATATTATAGAGAATATAAGTCTGTTTCTATATGATAATATAAATATTGTCAGTGAGATGTAGAGGAACTGGTTATTTATATCTCAAAATAGAAGACTTTGTCAATGATTATATCAATATAGAGTTAATTCTCAAATTCAATAGAAACCTAGTGTTGCTGTTCTCAATCTCTTGCAGAATCTATTGAATATTGAGATATTAAAGCTAGATTTAATATATCTCACTGTGCAGGGATCAAAGGCTCAGTCAGACCTTGAGATATACTGATTTTATAGTTGTTGGTGTGCTGTTGACTCATTGTTCACTGATTATGTATTGAATGCTGTTGCTGAGGTATCTTTTTGTATTGTTCTGCCGGGGATGGGCCAGATTGAGAGGGGTAGTACAAGGGTGAGACTTGGTGTTGAAGTCTAGATACACTGACAACAGACCGTGGAGGTTGCACTTCAGAAGAGTCCATTGATTATGTGCTTGATATTATTGCCAAGGTATCTTTTTGTATTTTTCTGCTGGGGATGGGCCAGATTGGGAAGGGCGGTACGAGGGTGAGACTTGGCGTTGGTGTTTTGGAACATCAAAGATGGACAGGGTTTTCGCGGAGGTCGCTCCTCAGATATCTCCACAACTACAGATCGGGGATCTTCCAAAATCGAGAAGATTGGTGCATATGGCTAGGTCTCTTCACCTTACAATTTGTATGGCACTTTGGCCCGGGGTTGTGGTGTGGTAGGGGAGAACAGGGGATAATCTCACACAGGAGTTTCGAACAACGTCCGGTTCACGTTTGGCTGGATAACTCCACCACCACACAGGGTATGCAGTCGGCGATGGGGTCAGAATGCTCGTATGATCGAGGGCTTTTCGATGGATCTATCGGCGGGTTCTTATTTGAAAAATCGAGCGAGTTCGTGGTGGAGCGGTTGTCCAAGGCACATAGGTTAATCAGTAGTTAAAAGCAATGTGTTCTGATCAGTTACAGTTGATACACACTTTATATTGATGTTAATCAGTGACTTCTTTAGAAGTGATCTCAGAAACTCAGAAGCCTGTTTGAACAGCAGAGATTCTTGCTTGTGTGTAGATATTCAAGTCTACTTAATTCATGATATCTGCATCATTGTTATTTCTCAGTGTGAGTGTATAAGTCACTGAGATGTAATATCTTCTGTCACTGTTCTGTATATTTCTGAGCTTGATAAGATGATCATTCATTGTCTGAAGCTGTGTGTAGAAGTCTTCATAAGTCTGGTCTTTATCTATACTTATAAGAGTCTGTAAGAGTTCAAAAGTTAATGTCTTCTTAAGCATGCTAATCTTTATTCAATTCTCTTAAGATTGATCATCTGCTTCTAGAATCTTAGTGTTGAAGTCAGAAATAAATGTTATAAGAGAAGTGTTTCTCTGTCAGATACTCTGTAATTAATCTAATACTTTCTATTACATAGCAGTGTCTTGAAACAGAATATCAAGATGTTTTATAATATTATCAGATATTCATAATACTGATTCACATGCTTTCATTCATGAATGAAACTTCTGTTTCATGTGATCTTTCAATTATTCATTGATATACTAATCTTGATTAATTAATGAACTGATGATATCTTCATCTACACTTAGTTTCACAAGCATTTTCATTCTTCATGATGAGTAGAGAGTGAGATCAGAAGCATTGAAATATACAGAAGCACTTAAGCATTCTTTCAGTACTTTTGTATTCAGTTCTGTAGATGTTGAAATCACATGAATTAATTATTGAATCTCTTTGTATTAAAGTTGTTGAGTTATGTACATGTCTGCTATCTGTTGCTGTTGTAATTTCAATATTGCTCAGAGTCACTGTGACATCACATCTATGCTCATATTTAAGAGTTTCATATTATTGTTAGACATGATTATATCAATCATTAAATGTATAATATCTGTGAAATCTGAAGAAATGTAATTGTATTCTTATATGTCTGAGTGTCAGAACTCTCAGGTCTTTTACTAATATTCTCTTATAAGATCTTTATTATCAGGCCAGAGTGACTGATGAGTAAGCTTCTATCTGAGAACTTGATATTCACTTAACTGTGTTTTCTCTTTCTTATGTGTTGTTATGTGTTCAGATATCTCTCAATGAATAATTATTCCTAATGAGAAGATGATGAATGTTTTTATAGTGTAAGAGGTCTATGCTGAATAGATCAGTATAATATTAATAGGTCTTATATAACAAAGATAAAAACATTAGAGAAGGAAAGAAAGAGAAAGTGTGAGAATCAGTGATTAAGATGGATATTTATACATGTATGTGGTGGTGTACGCGGTGGAGCTTCGGGGTGGAAGAATATACGCGCATTCATAGCAGCTGAGAATCAGCGATTGAGAATGACTGAGAATCAGAGCGTACGTGTTTGAGAATGAAGTAATTGAAATCTGTGAAGTGTAACGAAATAGTCTATATAATTGATCGGGCGCAGCCCGCCACAAGTACAGACAATTATTTTATTCGATATGAAAACTGCTAAAATTACAGACTTTAAGAGAGCTGAATACCAGAGTATACACAGTTATAGCAGAATCTTGAAGACTGATTATCTGTGTATATTATCAGATATCTCTTACAAAGCTGTATCTGCTCTCTCAGTTATACTGAAGTATTCAGTCTGAAAATTATTAAAATATAGAGAGAGAGCTTCTCTATTCAGATTAACTTCTATTATTTTAATTATCTGAATTTTACAGATATCTGAGAACTTATCTCTCATTGACATCAGAATTGCAGAAATGCATCACAGTGTGAGAATTATTAATAGAGAATCTAGATATATTTATATATATCTGATTAGTAATAGTGTAGATAGAGAAGAGATGATTATAAATTCACAGAGTTATAGAGAGTACTGATAGTACTGAGAGCTTTATAGAAACTGTTAGTTAGAGTCTGTAAAAAATTACTTACAGAGAGACTTATGATAAAGAGTAGAATTATACTACTAAGTAGACTAACCGTGTGACCGTGTCTGAGACCAGAACCAGAATATTTAATGATCTCATTATCAATTTGACTAATCTTATTACACAGTTTTAAGATTAAATAGTAGTCTTATACTATCTCAGTAAGACTTACTGTCTACTTATATTACATTTTTCAAATAAGATCATGATTTCTACTTCTCAATTTAAATTCTTTTTATTGCTTTAAATGACTTTAAATCTTATTTGAGTGTTATTAAAAAGTGATACTTTTTAAAAAAGTAATAATAGTTGAAAGAAAACCTTAAAATGTTCAAAAATAGCAACTTTATACTCAGAATGAAATTAAATGAGATTAAATGAAATCACTTTCTTATTTTTTCTAAGTTATGATTTCATTTTGAGATCTGATAAATAGTCACTTTGCATACTTTTTTAATGATTAGTCCCAGCGGAATTCATATCAAGAAATGTATGAAATCAGATCAAATGAAATTAAATATGAAATTTATGATTCTGATGATCAGTCTACTACTGAGAGTTAGAAGCTGATCTGAAAAAGATATAGAGTTAGCTACAAGCTTAAAGATTACATACAGTAATAAGACTAAGAGAAGTGAAGATAATGTTATAGATAACAGTATCTCTACTTTATCAGCTAGTAGAAAGTAACTAGAGATATAACAGAGATACTTATAAGAAGCTCAGTAACAGTCTGATATTATTTATAAAGATATTAAAATTGAAAAACTTTTATTCTTAAGAAGTTCTTAAATTAATATATAAATATTATTAGAAACACTCTCTCTCTGTTTTCTAAGTGAAAACACTTCACAGATGAATGAAGATACTTACAGTTGATAAGAATAAGAGTTATTATAGAAAAAAAGAAGAGAAGATAAGATTCTACAGACAGATTTAAGATATTTATAGTACTTTAAAGAAGTTTATTTACACTTTAAGTGATTTCACAGAATAGTCAGATTACTCTAGTAAATAGAGAATAATTATAAATTACAGTTCTAAATCTTTCTATATAATTATAAAGAATAATTATAGACTATGAATATCTTAATTCTATAATTCTATAGAGTTAGTGAAAGAATAAAAATTTTTGTATAACTCTACAGTGTCAAAGAATGATAATTTATAAGAATAAGTAAAAAAATTAACTTATAAATACTTCTCTTTAATAAGTGTAATTTTATACAAAGTAATTCATCTGCAGAATAAATCTATGTAATAATTATATAAAAATCTTATAGAAAAATGATTGAAGATTAACTGAAACTTATCAGATTAAAAAATACACAATGATTCTATGTGATAATTATATAGAAATCTTATACAAATAATTGAGAGTTAACTGAAACTCTTCTAAGTAAAAGATATAAGATATATCTACATAATAGTCAGAGAAAAATCTGCAGATTATAAAAAATCTTATAGAATAAGAAATTAACTAACAGACTCTTTTCTCTTTATACTAATAAGACATTTTTTCTCATTGAGATTTTTTTTTTTTATAGATATAAGAAGTGTTTAGTGAGTATTACTACAGTGCTGAGTCTGATTCTATAAAATCACTCAGTGAAAGACTTCACAGATAAAGTCTTAGAGAGAGAGAAGTATATAAGAAATCTTACTTTTTATACATTCTTTATCTCTATTTCTATCTCTTATATAATTAATAGAGTTAGCAGCTCTTAACTATACATAACTATATGAACTGAAGTTTATAAATACTATTTATAACTCAGCTTGAATACTATTATATATTTAATCTCTATATTTTATCTTTGTACTATGAATACTTCTAGTAGCTATCAGTATATATCACATCAAGCTGTAAACACTCAAATAATCGCCTGTGAGCACTTATTCTTATATAATTGAAGAATGAAAAAGTTAGTAAATAAGTAATATAATATAGTAAAAACTTCTTTGTAAGAGTATAAGTGAGATACTAGGTAAATCAAAGATAGACTATAATTATAAGTGATAGTTAGACTGACTATATAACCGTGTCTGAAATCAAAATCAGAATATTTAATAATTTTATTATCAATTTAATTAATCTCATTAGATAGTTTTATGATTAGATAGTAGTCTTATACTATTTCAGTAACACTTACTATCTACTCTTTGAATATTCATGGCAATGAATTGGCTGATTTAGCTGTAAAAAAGAGTTCAGAATTAAGCAGATCTATTTAAAAAACAGTGTTCTGATCTTTTATGAAGAGAAAGATAAATGAATCTTATTTAGATAAATGAAATAAAAGCTGGCAGAAATAAAAGAAGAGTATACATTATTCAAGATTTAAAATAAAACTCAAGTGAAAATCTTGTTCAATTAAATATAAAAAGAAAATATTCTCATCTATAATTCAGCTGCATCTAGAACATAATTATTTCAAATCTTATATACAAAGATTTGATAATAGATTTGATTCAATAGAATACTCATTCTGCAATGCAAATGAAAATTCTGAGTATATTATAATATACTGTGTATTATACAATAGTCTCAGAGTCAGATTGAAAGAGAAGTATAATTTAAATTAATTAAATATGAGATTCTTATTCTCAACTGAGACAGAAATTAAATACTTAATAGACTTTCTATCAGAAACTCAAGCAGCTACAAGAAAATGACTGAATTCAGAAATATCTAAATAAGAAGAGGTGAAAAATGACTAGATATAGTCTGTTAAAACAGCTATACACTATTTTTTAATAATGTTGTTTTATTATAGTCTCTCTTTACTTTACTTTTTCTTTTCTGTTCTATTCTGTAAGAGGTCTACGCCGAATAGATCAGTATAATATATAGGTCTTATAATATAAAAGTGAAAAATGTTAGAGAAGAAAAGAAAGAGAAAGTGTGAAAATCAGCAATTAAAGTGAATATTTATACATGTACATGGTGAAGCTTCAGAGTGATAGAATAGAAATTTCATAAGTTTTTCAGCTGAGAATCAGTGACTGA